CCCGACACCAATAACTCCTTGTGTTAGGATGACCTTTGGGGCCGGACCTAGGTCTTGCATGTGAGTCTTGTTCTCAGCTCAGGGAAGTTTATTTAATAGCTTCTGGTCGATAAAGCGGGTACAAGTTCGCCGTTCTGGAATTAAGTAAGTCAATTCTGATTCCTCAACACATCCTCTTCCCTGACTCAAACATGAATAAGAAATCATTCTCGCGAGGCTCGTCAAAACATTTCAGTTTGCCCCTGGGCTCCAACCAGTGGAGTGGCGAGCCCGTGGGTGCATAAGCCCCCATGTCGCGAAGAAACATGAAGATGGGACGGTAGTACTGGACGAAGCACCCACTTTGCCGCTGATGGTATCCGTCGTCCGCTAGTGATCTGTATTAAAATGTTTGTGATGAATTTGTGCTTCGAATATTCACTTCAGACCCGCATACACCCAACTCTCGGCCATCTCACAGTCCGGACAACTCACATGGCTCAATAGATAGAGAAGGAGGAAATAGAATTCTAGAAACGACTTTACGTACACACCTTCTATGCTCCATAGAATCAAGTGCGGTGGAAAAATAAACCAAAAGTGTATGACATGAGTGCGATTTGAACGCACGCGGGATAAATCCCAACGCAATTAGAGCCTGTGCAAGGCCAAGCAGGTGCTTGAGTGCGTCGCCTTAGACCGCTCGGCCATCATGCCTGTTTACGGCGTCGAAAGAGAGTTAGATAAACAGCAAAGGTGGTCGAGGTAAATTTTATCCCATTTCGGTCAGGTCCACGCATCGTGATCGGCGGTGTTTGGTCTCGGAATTCTCGATCGGCAGGCACACAATTGGATATCCTGATAAATAACCATCCTCATTACATCCGTTGCATCTATATACAATCTTTTATTCAAAGACGCAAAACCAGGCTCCTCAAACATCGCACAACCTAGCAAAGGTCAAAAATATTCCCAAGCAAGCGGTGTAAAAAATCGAGTGCGCCAAGAAAACATGTAAAGACAAAGCATTCAAGAAGAGTGGTGGGTGATGAAACGTAAAGCGCAAAAAAAAGGTCAAGAAAAGGTCATTTACTAATAATAGGGATACAATTGCGCATGTCATGAACTTAAAAGGACTGGATCAAAACTACATAAAAAGCCACATCATTAGACAAGAGCTGAGATTATCAGATATTTCGTCTGGTCGAAGCGTCGTTAAGTTGTGGATTACCGCCATCCGCTCATTCGCTGGTCCCATTCCCCCCCGCCCTTCCATCCATCGGTATCCCGACCGGGTCGCACACTGCCCTTGGCGCCTAACCCGAATCCGCTACTTCCACTCAATTCTAGACGACCGACCACTTCCTCGGGTCCTATCCGCCGGGTTCCAGACCCAGATCCAGACCCGGTAGACTCCCCAATTCTGGGGGTAGGTTCAAGCCCCAGCCCCCGCGACGCAGGCTCACGAGGCGATCCAGGGGCATAAGACGCCTGGAACGACTCTTTCATCCGTTCTATTTCGGCATCGACCTCTTCAGCTCTAGTTAGAAGTGTCCTATTGCGGCGAGTAAAGGAAATTGTTCGTTCGCGTTCGTGCAAGGGGGATCGGTCGCGAGCAGGAGTAAGCGAAGTCGTACGTGCTCGTTCATGAGTGAATGGAGATCCTGTTTGGCCGCCGATAAAGGGAGAGCCCGTAAATAAGGATGGAGTTTCTCTCGGAGCGGTAGGACCTAATGACATTGCCCTCGTCCGCTCCTCGATCCCGAGCCCGAGTCGTTCCGTCAACGGAGCCAAAAGGTCCATGGGCCGACGTTCCCTTGAGGTAGACGGCCCCCGGATGCCATAGCGATTATCTATCGACGTCCTACGCTCCGACGTTCCAAATTGTTCCCTCGATCCACTCCTCACGCGCCAAGCACTATCGGCTGGAGAAGGGGGTATGCTTTCCAACGGCGGAGGCAATGGACGAGGAGAATCGGTAAAGTTCTGCGTAGTTCCTTCGCTCTGCCTTTGGTCGAATGGCTGCAACGAAGATTGCTCGTAGGTTCTTCCGAGAGGAGAGAGTGGTGGAAGAGCAGAATATCGCGTAGGAAGAGAAGAGGAAGGGAATCGTTCAGTTTGGGGAGACATAGAAGGGAATCGTTCAGTATGTCGAGGGAATCGTTCTTGAGCTGGAGACGTAAGCGGGAACTGCTCGGTGGAAATAGTGGTATCAAGTCTGAGCGGAGACCCCTCTGAACCTAGTTGAGGGCGTGAATCGATATCCTTGATGAATTGACCAAGCTCGTCGTCATCGGCCGTATGGCTGAGATAGGATTGACTCTAGAAT